AAAGAGAGTTACAATAATCAAGCCTCGTGGTGATAAAAGCATAGATTACTCTTTCAAAATTAGTAAAAGAAAGAAAGGACTTCATTTTTACCAGTGTTCGCAACTGATAGAAGCTTGATTTCACAACTTGGTTGACTTGTCTATCAAGCTTTAAGGCACTGTCCAACACCACACCCAGATTTTTCACGTACGGCTTTACATAAGGTGCCAGAACACCAAGATTTAGATTTGGTATACAGTGTGTATCAGAAGGGGTAAACACCACAATCTCTGTTTTACTCTCATTCAGACTTAAACAATTTAGGGACATCCATGCTTTAACATCCAAGAGGCAGGCGGCCACCGGGTCTAATCCATTCTTATGTTTCAAAGGAAGATATATTTGTGTGTCATCTGCATAACAATGATAACTTATACCATAATTCTCAAAGATAGATCCGAGGGGAAGCATATACAAGGAAAATAACATGGGAGCTAGAGTAGAGCCTTGAGGGACCCCACAGGTCAAAGGTACAGAAGAAGAGTGAAATTTGCCAATATTGACTGAGAAACTCCTGTTCGTAAGATAAGACAGGAACCAATTTAGGGCTGAACCTCTAATGCCCACTACCTGTTCTAAGCGGGACAGAAGAACATTGTGGTCTACAGTGTCAAAAGCAGCGCTCAAGTCTAAAAGTACCAGTGCTACAGAATCTCCAGAGTCAGTAGCTAAAAGAATTCCATTAAACACTTTTAAAAGAGCTATCTCAGTGGAGTGAAATTTTCTAAAGCCTGATTGGAACGCATAAAAATTTTTGTAATCGACCAAGAAACTTTGGAGTTGATGAAAAACTACTTTCTCTATAATTTTTGCTAAAAATGGAAGATTAGAAATGGGTCTAAAATTTGATATATCAGAGGAATCTAAATCAGGCCTCTTAAGTCTGGGTTGCACCGAGGCATGTTTTAAATAGTCAGGAATAACTCATATCTCGAGGCATTTATTAATCAAAGTTAAAAGTGTTGGACCCATTACAATGAACACTTGTTTAAATAACCATGAGGGACTTATATCTAAGGGTGAACCAGTTGGTTTGAGTTGATTAACAATGTCATTTAAAAAAGAAAGCAAAATAGGTGTAAACTGACTAAAGACACCTGTATATTTTAAATGGCCTGCAGGATCGCCAGCAACCGATTTGATGGTATGTCTGATCTCAGATATCTTATTAATAAAAAACTGGCAGAACCGCCCACACATAGCTACTGACTCTGTAGGATACACACAGACAATAGGGTTTAACACAGCATTAATGGTATTAAAAAGGGTTCTAGGATTATTATGATTTTTGTCTATGAGAGTCGAAAAATAATCTGATTTGGCCACTCTCACCGCCTTCTTATACTTAATAAGAGAATCCTTTAATATTTCATAAGAAATCTGTAGTTTGTCCTTTTTCCATTTCCTTTTGGCCCTTCTACAAGCCTGTCATCAACCATGGCTCAGGAGTTAACTTGTGATGTTTAGTCCTCAGTGGAGCCACAGAATCCAAAATTGTAGTGCAGACAGAATTAAAACTGTAAAGCAGTTCATCAGGACTGAGCTCAGATGACGCGAGAGCAGTAGAATGGAAAAACTCCTCAAACAGTGAAGAGAAAGAAGCAGAGGTAGCAGCAGTTATCCTCCGCATCAGGTGAGCCGATACATGAGGTTTTACAGCATTCAATGACAATGGCGTGTTGAATATAATAGGATTGTGATCAGAAAAGCTGTGGTCGCATATCTCAATATCACCCATAGAGAACCCATGAGACATTATAAGATTGAGAGTGTGTCCATGTATACGAGTAGGTCCTTTAACAAGCTGCACTAAATCAAAGGCTTCTGTTAGGCTGATAAAGTCTTTTGCAAGTGAGTTTTGGGGGACGCATATGTGAATGTTAAAATCCCCAATAATTAAAAATCTATCAAAATTGGGGATGATTCTCCCCAAGAAATCTGAGAAATCTGCAAAAAAGTCTTTGTGTGGCTTTGGAGGCCTGTAGAGTGTCCGAGTCCAACACAAGCAACTGCAATTTAAAACTGTTATATGTAGTTCTTTGTATAGTCCGACATTGAAAACAATCTTTAAAAATTTTAACCAAACTGCCACCCCTTCTCACAGAACGGGGAGAATTTAAAAAAATGTACAGTTGGGCAGTTCAAGTTGTGTTATTACTGTGTTATTAATGTGTATGTATGTATGCATCATCATGTATGCATCATATAGGCCTATGTTTGCAGTATGTCTGTACTTTCTTCTGCACTGGAAGCTCCCTTACGAAAATTAACTATGGTTTACTACAAATTAAACCAAAAAAAACATGGTTACTATAGTTAAACCACAAATTAATCATGGTTTTGCTACACTAACCATAGTTTAACCATGGTATTTTCTAGTAAAACTGTGGTTACACAAATGGTAATCAATACACCAAAAGCCATGGCATGATTTATTACAGGCTCTTCCACTTTCCTTATTACTTGGAAACTCTTCGGTTGGGTAATAGTTTTGTGATGTGATTACTAGATGGTTGCCTTGTGGACGATCCATTATCAGTGAGTAGGATATTATCATTCGTTGTAGCCTCAAGCACCTTCCATCTTAATTTTTCTTTATTTATGGACATGACGTAAACATTATGTGTACAGAAAGGAAATAAGGTAAAAACACAGACTAAATTCGGCATACTCCTCCCACTAATACAGTATACAGTAAAAAATACAGTAAATATGTGAATGGAATAATCTTTTCAAATACATAAGTTTGTAGCGTATTGTAGCTCTATATAATTTAGACTTCTCCCTCAGGTATGCTGTGGGGGGCAAGTGCTTCCAAACAGTCAAAAGTATATATTTGTAACATATTTTTTAACATTTATTCTGTTGCATATTAAATATCCATGTACATTTTCAATGTAAATGCATTACTGTACATAGTTTTCCCTTTTTTCACAGATAGGATTAATTTAAATTTTGTTGTGATCATTGACAGCATCTGTGACGTTTAATATTTCTACACTACATGCTGTAAATGGGTGATTTCTGCAATATAAACACTAAAAGCAACCTGCAAGTTCTACAGTTTAAGTGTCAATAAACAAAATGTACAAACATAATGACAGCCATTAAGCCATGTGTCAGACTGGTCAGAATGCTCAAACAGCAATGCTGAGGCACTTCTCTGGAGACTTAACCTACAAATGGCTTACATAGAGCTGTCTCTCCATGTTAAAATCGAATAAAAGAAGAAAAACACTTTAACTTTTACGTTACATCCGAAATTGATAATATACAGTTGTTAGCCCATGTATTAAATAACATGCTGTGGTAATTGTCATGCTCTAGTAGAATTATCTTGTGTTTACACTGACTCCTGAGAGATAAAATAGTGTTTTGGATTTAATATGACATTTTATTTAAATGGATGATTTATCTAACGCTGAAACACAAGGGCGTAGGTTCACAGTCCTCCCTCAGCCTTCATTCATAATTCATCGGTCAGCAGATTCCCATTATTCCCCATTTCTCACCTCACCCACGTAGATACCCAGATCCTCTTCATCATCAGTGCGATAACACACCGTTAAACCCAGTTTATCTTGCTGACAAGATTTATACAGTTCCACCTCCTGAAGAAAAACAGATAGTGAGAGAATTAAACAAACAGAGATAAGATGCTTCTCCAGCAGTATTTCAGTCTAAAACAAACTTAAAGTAGAGGACGTTTAAAGAGACAGTTCTGACCTCATACTCCAAGTCATCTTGTCTGTCCACCTCATGTTGACTGATGTCAAAGTAGTCCGTTGGGTCGTAGTACACATGGTCAATAGCAGGGCTGAGGAGAAACACAATGTCAAAGATCAAAATATATAATTAACCACTACAGTGACATACAGAAATGAAAAGTCACAGAAAAACAGTGTTAGTGTTTATAAGTGTAACACGCTATTTGAGGTAATGCATACAATTGTTTATTGTAGAATTTTCACCATAATGACATTTTTTTTTCTTTCTATTTTTGCAATGCATTTAAATTTTAACACCACAATGACAATCAACGAACAACTTTTTTTCCTCAAAAATGTAACATTGTGATTTTTGTGTAAATACATTTGTGTGTTTTTGCTGCAAAGGAGAGTGGAGTAAGAAAATTAAAGTACTTCCATATATTTTTTACTCCTATAAAAAAATTTAAGTACTTCCATATAATCCTTAGACAAATAATCTACAAGGTTTTATACATATGTGATTCATTGAGGTCAAAAGTTTACATTCCCCTTTCAGAATCTGCAAAATGTTTTTTTGTTTTTTTTTACCAAAATAAGAGGGACCATACAAAATGCATGCTATTGTTTATTTAGCACTGACCTGAGTGAGATATGTCACATAAAATATGTTTGTATATATTCCACAAGAGAAAATAATAATAGTTGAATTTATAAAACTGACCCTGTTCAAAAGTTTACATCCCCTTGATTCTTAATACTGTGTTGTTACCTGAATACAGCTGTGTTTTTTTGTTTGTTTAGTGATAGTTGTTCATGAGTCCCTTGTTTGTCCTGAACAGTCAACCTGCCTGCTGTTCTTCAGAAAAATCCTTCAGCTCCCACAAATTCTTTGGTTTTGCAGCATTTTTGTGTATTTGAACCCTTTCCAACATTGACAACTGAGAGACTCATACGCAACTATTACAGAAGGTTCAAACACTCACCGATGCTCCAGAAGGAAAAGCCATGCATTAAGAGCCGGGGGGGTGAAACTTTTTGAATTTGAAGATCAGGGTAAATGTAACTTATTTTGTCTTCTGGCAAACATCTGGTAATCATCTGTAGCCTCTGAAGGAGATGGTCCTCACTGCAGAACACAAGATCCAGGGGGCGTGGTTGGATCCAGATCTAACTCCTCCCACCTTATATACCTAAACCTACCCGTCTCCACCCCCTGATCGCTAAACCTACCAATCTCCACACCCTAGATGTGGATCCAACCACGCCCCCTGGATCTTGTGTTCTGCAGTGAGGGGCTACTGCTCTGAAGGGCAGTACTAAATTAAAAATATGATATTTAGGCAAAATAAGAAAAATGTACACATCTCCATTCTGTTCAAAAGTTTTAATTAATAAATATATATACAGTTGAGGTCAAAAGTTTACACCCCCTTTCAGAATCTGCAAAATGTTAATTATTTAAAATAAATGTATGGTCACATGACTAAAAAAATGTGTGCAAGATTTCCCCCAGTATAAGAACAGCCCTCACAAAAAGTATCTGACATAAAAGTATTTTCTGTAAAAGGTACACTAACAACATTTAAAGGTTTGGAGTCAGTAAGATTTATTTTTCCTTTTCTTTCTCTTTTTCTTGAGCATCAAATCAGCATATTAAAGTGATTTATTAGAGGATCATGTGACACTGAAGACTGGAGTAATGATGCTGAAAATTCAGCTTTGCATCACAGGAATAAATTACATTTTATAGAATATTCAAATAGAAAACGTCTCGGTTACGTATGTAACCCTCGTTCCCTGAAGGAGGGAACGGAGACGTCACGTCGGACAATAATATTTCACAATATTATTATTGTTTTTTTTATTTTTTTTAAATGCTTGATGAGCATAAGAGACGTCTTTTAAAAAAAAAAAGTTAAACTTTTACCGACTCCAGACAGCTGAACAGGAGTCTAATTAGGTATTTTTTGTATTATATGCATCATGTACAAAACACATAGCATTGATTTTAAAAGTGATGTTCCCTAACAGTGACAACCAATATCTGTCCTCAAACCCACACTTACAGCTGGCTGAAGAGGTAGGGCTCTGGCATGGGCGGCAGTGGAGGGGAAGGAGTTGACGCTGGTCTGTTGTGATGGACGGGTCTGCCTAATGTCACCATGTGCTGGAAGCTAATATCTGTCTGCGTCCCGCTGTCCACACAGTCAGTCATTACCATCGTCCCTCCAGCAGCTCCAGGCACACCTGCTTTCCTCCTCGGACCCCACCTCATGTTCCTCCTGCAGCGCAGCGCATGCAGGCTCTGCTCCTGAGAGAGCTGAGTCAGGTCTCTACTGTTCACCTGGACAAACACATACATGGTGAGAACATTAGCACTTTACAGATTATCGATTATCACTGAACATATTTTTACATAACTCAAGTCCAAAAATCCCATTTTTGAAACTAAGCTGAAAAAACGTGGTTAAATGAATGCCCACATTTACATATTAGCAAGACCTGTTTAGTGTTCAGCAGCAAGATAAGCTGATTTTAATAGATATAAGCCGCATATAAGGCAACAAAAAGGACCTTTTAAGTACGAAGGTCAAAGAGAGAATCTAAAACAATTTATTAAATAATGAATTCTAATGAATCAATTGTGGTTGTGACCAGTGTTATTTTAGTAATATTTATATACTATTATAGTTTTTTTTTTAATTTAAAAAAAGTTGAAGTTTTAGTAATTTAGTTATGTGCTTTTGTCATTTAAATTTTTTATGTTTCCATTTTGCATTATTTTATTTAAGTTTTAGCAATTTTAGGACTTCAATGTAAACTTATTTCAGTTACAAATGCAACATTTCTAATTTGTTTAAATTTTTTTTTAAGTTTGCTGTTTTTTTATTTCATATTTATTATTTTCCCTATCAAAACTATCAAAAACAATTGTGACCCTGGACCACAAAACCAGTCATAAGGGTCAATTTTTCGAAATTGAGATTTATACATCATCTGAAAGCTTGTTAAGATAGGACAATATTTGGCCGAGATACAACTATTTGAAAATCTGGAATCTGAGGGTGCAAATAAAAAAAAGTATTGAGAAAATCGCCTTTAAAGTTGTCCAAATTAAGTTCTTAGCAATGCATATTACTAATCAAAAATTAAGTTTTATTATATTTACAGTAGTAAATTTACAAAATATCTTCATGGAACATGATCTTTACTTAAAGGTGGGGTAAGCGATTTCTGGTAGCCAATGTTGACATTTGAAATCACCAAAACAATCACGCCACCAAAACAATCACGCCCCTACCCCATAAGGGTCTCGCCCCTATTTTGATAGCTCTGCCCCACACACACATACGTACGCAACCCAGGCAACGATTAGTTCTGTGAAACAAAGCTAAACCAATGTTACACCGTGTCTACACCGGACGCGAGTGGCGCGGCTCGACAAAATACTATAGAACTCATTATAATCAGTGATGCTGTCTACACCATAGATATATATACATATCTATGGTCTACACTGGATGCAGCGTGACACGACAAATCCCCGACAGAAAACTGCTGCCGGGTTCTATTTATGACGTGCTGACACAAATTTCAAATGGTTTTCAACGGTCGCTTTGTCGCGTCCAGTGTACTAGACAGACAGCTTTTGCGGCGCAGACACGGTGTTACTCACCTATCGAGAAGAAACAAAGCAACCTCGGCGTCCGATCGCAGGCCTCCGCTCCTTGAGTTCTCTCCAGCGATGGAAAGCTGATCCGATATTTACACGGGTCCTACTTCTTGCCTTATTGCCTT